ATATAAATTAAAATTGAAGATTGAAGATGTTTATATTTAAATTTAAAATAAGTAATTATTTATATTTATGAAATTTATTTATTTTTGTCTCAAAATTCTTAGAATTATGAAAATTTTAAGATTAAATTGCTTATTATTATGTTAATTTTACTACTTTTTAATAATATTATTATTTATTACGTCATCCGGTTCAACCCCGATTCGATCGATCGAACCATGAACCTTTCTTTCTTCCGGTTCGTTGTCTGGTCTGGTTTTCACAACTTTGCTAAAAAGCAACAAAAAAGCTCCCAAACGAAACCTTATATTTTATTTGAGACGGCTTTCTTACTACTTAAAATAATTTTATTTTTTACTAGAAAGATGCTTTAAGAAGAAATAAAAAAGTCATCCCAAATGAAATCTTAATTTATTTCTTATAAACTAGACTCTATCATCTTATAACTTATCAAATGAGTTTTAGTTTGAAGAACAATTTAGACTTCGTTTGGAACGGCTTTCTTACTATTTGCAATACTCCTTTTCACTTCAATTCACATTCCCTCACTACTCTGCTTTCACATGATAGGTCAAAGTGCAATACTGTACATGTTGAAGAGAACAAATAGACTAAGGTTTCGTTGGGACTACTTTCTTTCTGATTCTTAAAGCAACTTTGTAGAATAAAAAATAAGATTTTTCTACTAAAAAGTTGCTTTAAGAAGCAGTAAAAAAGCCGTCCCAAATGAAGCCTAAGACTGAACAATTTAAAAGAAAATAAAATCCCTTAGAACAAAGAATTAATGATTCATATTTCAAAAGAACTTACCAATCATTATTTCCTTTAAGCTAACACTTCTACAAAATTAACAATGACATAACTAAAATACATTGCAGTCTTACAAATGCTTTTCTAAAATAAATTGCTTCACTACTAACTACATCAAGGTAGCTTCTTGTTTGTGTAGGTTTCCAGCACTAGAAAACTCTTTTTGGAAGTCCACAACCAGGTTTATGCTATGCCATTGGAGATTATATAGATTAAATAATGAATATAAATATTAAAAACATTAAGAAACACAAAAAATTGTGGAGTATTTCAGCTAAGAATGGAACGTGCCTCGATTACTGATCTTGGAGGTTCCAAGTCTTTGTCATGTATAGAGTTTCCTTGCAGTGTCTGCATTTCTGAGGCAAAAACATCATCCAATATCTGCAATAGTCTCAGCATCTTACAACATTAGAACTTGTTAAAAAAAAAAGGCAAAGTTGATAGGAAAATCAAATTGGTTCAAATTTGATGAGTTCATAGATTAAGGCTTCGTTTGGGATTACTTTTTAACTGTTTCTTGAAGCAGCTTTTTAGTATAAAAGTTATAATTTTTGTAATAGAAAGCTGCTTCAAAAAAAAAACCGTCCCAAATAAAACCTAAATTAAATGTCTAAGAAGTTTCCAACTGTTTCCAAGAAGAAGATAGAGCTGAGGTGAGGAGCTCACCCCAAGAACATAGCCAGAACCAGATCCTCGATACCACAACCTATTCTCCTTCCGACTCTCAAGAAAGCTCAACACAATCTAATAAAAGAACAGCTCAAAAACATTGGAATTCTAAAGAAGGTAATTCTTAGAAGAAGATAACAAGTATTTAGCAGATTTATTACCTGTCCCATTTTATCCCAGAAGTCCCTGCAAATTTCTACAAAAATTTTGCTAGTGAAAGCACCATGCAGATTGCGAATAGAATCAGTCAGCTGGATGCAGAGGGATTGCATCCGTTCTCGAATCTCAGCTTCTCCCTTTGTCTCTTTAGTTTCCTCAAGAATTTTCTTTAGCCTTGTACTTCTGTTTTCATCAGTCTAGAATTTATAATATTGCTGATATTAGTATCCTCTAGTATACAAAAATGCTCTAATGATAAACTGATTCAGGCTTTATTTGGGACAGCTTTCTTACTGCTTCTTTAAGCAACTTTTTAATATAAAATTTTAAATTTTTTATTAGAAAGCTGCTTTAAGAAGCAGTAAGAAAGTCATCCCAAAAGAAGCATTAAATAAGGAAATAGTAACAAACATGATAAACTAGCATATTTATGATAGCTTGCTTATAGTTTTCCTTAATATTAGTCATATTGCTAATCTTATTAACAAGCATCTTTCTTTAGCCATGTACTTCTGTTGGCTTCAGTCTAGAAATCAATTATATTCTTATATTTTAGTGTCCACAAGGGATGCTGAAATGCTAGAGATAAACTGAAAGGATGCAGTAAACAAACATTATTAACAAGCATCTTTATGATAGCTTGCTTATAATTCTTGTAATTTGTCCTCAACATGATAGTGATTCCATTAGTCCTCTCCCCGAAGTTCTCATTTTCACTGACGAGTGTCCAAAATGAAGCGGCAGATTTTAGGATTTCTTCTACCCTGCAGTGGTGTACATCAAGTATTCTTTTCATGGTGTTTAAGAAGATTCCCAACTGTCACAACAAAACAATAAAAACCTGTGTTAAACAAATTGAGCACTTTTTAATGAAGTAAAAATTTGTTTATAATCATAACTTGTGCTACCTCATTTGGAACTGTATAGACTGCTGTAGATTGCCTTCTTGTAAGCTTCTGCACATGCTTCTCAATCTTCTTTGGAACTCCATCTTTTAAAGGCAACAGAACATCACTGTATTGCTTCTCCAGGGCTTTTATTATCGCTTGTTCAATATGGGTGACAGCCTGAGAAGATTATTCTTGCTTCAGGCTCAAAGATAAGAAAGTAAAGAAGAAAATACATAAACAGTAGTAGCAGGGTTTTCTTACACTCTCTATGCTTAGCAAATACTGCGGCCATCTATTGACCACTACCTTGTACTCATTTAAGCTATCCCTGATGCGGTCATACAAATCTTCCACAAAGGGTGATGTGGCATAATGAGTTGAGATTCCAGAGCTTGAAATCTGCAAATGTTTATAGATAGCAAATATGATTCATGATTTTCAAAGTTTTTGATTAAATAGAAACATAGCTATGTAATTCTATTAAATGACCAGGAAGACATAACCAGATAACCTTCTCCGCTTTGCAATTTTCAACTAACTGGTACTGGGCATCCTTGATCCAGATCTCTATGTAATAATGGAATAGATCTCTTGAGATTACTCCTCCATGAACCGGGCTGTTGATGATGAATAATAGATAAAAGTGGAAGTTGCTTAACAAAGACATGTACATCAGTATGGTCTTTAAAGACCTCAATACCTGATGCTCCATGAATTGAGATCTCTTTCAAAGTCAGCAGTAACAACTAGCAGTTCAATTACATGTGGTGCTGGTTTGGAAGGTGGAAAAGCTGATAGGAAATTCTTAAGCCTCTGACAGAGCTGAACACTATAAATAGAAGCCGCGGTATTTGGGAGATCGATGCAGCTGGGAAGATAACTAATTATTATGAAACAAAAACTGGTATTTTGAATTCATTGTTCCAAAATAAAGATATGGGGCCGCTGCAGAGATAATAATACCTAGGAAGTATGTTCTGGTTCTGAATTTTCATATCAGCTTGAATCTCGCCGCTTATATTCAAACATAATGTCCTCATTTTAGAATAAGCAGTTGAGATCGTTATTGGTTCTGTGACATCACAGTTCACTGACATGAATTCTTCTGTGTCTACCAAATATCTTCTACACCTTTTTGCTGCAGCAGTCTATAATGGAAATGACATTATCTCAAATAAATTATTCTAAAGTTTAGAGAAAGGAAACGGGAAAGGAAGCTGTGATTTGAAATACAAATTCAAAACAATAACCCTTTACTTAAGAGAAAAAAAAATCTGCAAGAATAAAATACTAGACTTTGAAAAAGTACCTTGAAATAATTCCGCAATGTGTTTTGACCTTCTTGAGAGAGTATATCATGCAGAAGGCTGAAGAGTTTTATTGCAGGAGTTAATGCAGGTGAAGCAGTTTCTGGAGTTGGACCAAAGAAGTTTGCAAGTCCTGTTGAAGAGTTCTCATCCAAGGACTTGTAATTTTGAAAAGTAGTAGCCAAAAGATATTTTATTTGATCTTCACAATCAAACAATATACTTCTCTGTTTAAGAAGAAATTAAAGATGTGTAAGACATCAATAATAATCTTAATAGTCAGGAAAAGATGGGCTACAGTACAAGCTAGCACTCAACTCCTCGGTTATTATTTGCATATTGATGCATGTTTATCAGTATATAAAATGTTATAAATTGTCAAAAGTGCCTTAAAATTGCCTCAAGTCTTTATAGAGTGAAAAGCAACTTCTTCAAATTGTTAGTGAATCCTTAGATCATAGGCTAAATTTAGGGAGAATCAAATAACAACAATTCATATTCCAATATTCCTCCCAATACAGATAAAAAAATATGCAAATACCTCTTGTCTGGTAAGATTTCTTTCATTTCGAGCCTTAAGAATAGGTTCAAGTAATTCACATATTAGTTCCAAACATTCTTTGGTGGGCACTGAGATATTTATGACATATGATAAGTACCTGCAGATAGTATGTAAATAAAGGTGGCCAACAAATTTAATCATGTAGCAATTGGTATTATTAAGTTGTTTTTGATGCAAAAGTACCTAAGTTTCGTATATGCAGAAGTCACACCATAGTAACCAGAAAACTCATTTAGAAGCCACTTCCATGGTCCATGAATCCGCAAATTTTTTGCATGGAAATCGCAAGCACGCATAGATGCCTCCATTACGAGATCATAGATAAGAGTTTCTACAGGTGGACCAGTCTGCAGACATACACAACAGTAGATACTTAATTTCTGCCTTCAAGAACCTTAAAATTTTGATTTATAGTTATTTATTGCAATTCTAACAGCTTTCATGCTTTGGGAAGAAAAAATGGATAAAAACCTTAGAGGAATTCATCTTGTCAGAAGAGTTAGAAACACTTGTAGATAATTGAATTTTTCCCACATATCCTCGATCCTCCAAATACATTGGCCACCACTTTACTTTTTCTCCTTGCTGAATTGATAGAATGGTGTTTTTGAAATTGATATCATTAGAAATGTAGATTGAACAAAGGATTTCAGAAAAAATATGAAATCAAAAGGCAAGAAAAGCTTACTTGTGCTTCAGATACCAACAAAGAAATTGGAATCTTTGTCTGACCTAGATTCACGCTGTTGATATCCTGCACCTGAATCAAAATAACTTCTCCTTGGCTCTCCGGATAACTGTAAGAAGTTGTCAGTAGCTTCATATAAAACAAAATGGTATAGAAAGTACTTGCAAACAAAGAATAAAATTGAAAAGCAACAAAAATTTGGGAAAGTTGTAAGACTTTCTTCTACTGGACTTACAAGATATGAGACTCGCCAGTCCCGGGTGTCAACCGGACTGGGAAAACGGAACTCAGAAGTTCTTCTTCACAAGAGCTATATAATTGAAGTAAACATGAGGGAGAATCTGAAATTTGATATAAATATTAGCAAAATTGTTAATCAGTAGCACTGAAAATATTTTAAGAACAGATTATTTTCATTACCTTCACAAGTATCTGGAAATGAAACTGCTTTTATTGTATTGATTTTATTTTTTAAGAGTGCAGTTGCATGTTGGACATATTCAGTACTAGCTTGCATAACTAATTTTGGACTAGAATAGGTACATCGAAGCTTTGGTCTTCGTGGTACACTGCAGATCTTTTTCACTGTTCCGATAAGATATTTGTCAGAAAATAATGACTTTTTAGTTTGCATCCCGCTGATAATGAAAACTTCTTCGATTTCCTTACGTAGAATCTCCAAACTTGAATGCATAAAATTTCTTTCATGAACAAAAGATATATACAAGGGCACACACAGGTCAAGATGTTAAAAGAAAAAGAAAATTGAACTTGAGGGAAATATACATGCATCAGAATTCAGAAGCAGACTGAAATGCATGTAACCTGACCTTCCACCTCGATTTTCCAAATATTTTTTCTATCTTTTCTTGTACATGTTCCATCGGCATCGGCACTGCTTGTAGGTTTTCCTTCCCCCTGGAGATGGCCTCGTGGTTGCAATAGATACTTTTGAATCCTACGTTACACCATTTGATAAAGGAAATTAAAAATCTTCCATCATGTGTATGCAACACAGTATGTTTGCAACTAAGATTAAGGCTTCATTTGGGACAGCTTTCTTACTGCTTCTTAAAATAGCTTTTTAGTAAAAAAAAATTAATTTTTAAACTACTAGAAAGCTATTTTAAGAAGCAATAAAAAAGCCGTTCCAAACGAAAGCTTTTTTATTGCTTCTTAAAGCTGCTTTCTAATATAAAAATTTTAATTTTTATATTGAGAAGCTGCTTTAAGAAGTCGTAAGAAAGCCGTCCCAAACGAAGCATAAGAAATTATGATAAAAAAGGCAAAATGTATGCGTTGGAATCATGTTTCAGCTATAATTCACCCAAAGGCATCACGTAGCATTATGCATTCATCTCTAAGAAATTCTGGGGCTTCCATGCAGTTCCTTGCCCACGCATTCAAGCACAAACGGAAGCATGCATCATATGCAACAAAAGATTGCCACGAATTTTCAACACTGCAAATTCATGCAGCAAGAAGGATGAAATGTCAGTACGAATATTAAGCTGCAGTTGCTATATGTTGAAATTTATTATGGCATAATGACCAAACCTAGAAGTATAGCCTTGAGATTGATCAGAGAATTTATTTTGCAAAGAACATGTCTGCTCATCTCTCTCTACTGAAATGTTCCTGTATAGAAATCAGTAGAGGCTTCAGTTCTATAGTTGATGGAGGGTGGTCATTTTTAAGGAGTTTCCATTGTTGAAATAATGAAATAAGTAAAAGTTAATCCTTATAAGAGTTTTAGTGTTTTACCGTATTGGCGGGTATGTTGCATCTTGCATCTGGCATTCCAAATCTGAGGAGATTTCAATGCTTTCAGAGCTTGCTTTTGCTGTAAGAAAAAACATTATTTTGTTAGCACATTGAATAAAACACATATATTTAATAAATCAATGGCATCTGCTCCTTAACCTTCTGTACCAGGGATGCTTTCTTCTCTTCCACAATCCATTATTGGAGGAGCACTCGGTGTTCCTAGATCTTCAAACCTTTTGGGCATGTAATCATCATGAAGGTAACACTGAAGTGTAAAAATAAGAAACGTTAATAGGTTAACTTGTGAACATCAAAACATTTAGGAGAGACGTACGGTTGAATCCGTGAAGCCGAAATGCTCATGATTAGAGATATAGGCACTGGAAGTTGAGTTCATATCTATGAAACCACCATTTAAAGGCAGCTCAACCTTTAAGTTATGTTTTGATGGTACTCGGATGAGAGTTCGCCTTAATGTTCTACCTAGCTCTCTTATTGACTCATCACATGTTGATTCAAATTTTCGTTTAATCTCTTCTTCATGGCTCATATTTTTTGCTTTCCAAAATTGATTGGAGTCACTTGACTCCATACCATCCTCTTCGAATGTGTCAGGATAATAAGCACAGTGACCTCCAAAACTGGAGGCCATGCTCTCATTATCATCCTCGGAATCTTCCGCATAAGTACTAGGATGAATTCCCACTAAGCCAGAATGAAATTTCACAGGTGGTAGAACTTTGGGTGATAGGAAGTTGCCGCTTTTGTGAAATAGTGGCGAGTTCGAGATGCTACCCAATGGATATTTCTCTATCAGAGGAGGTCTAGATTCTTGATCTCCATCAGATACCTGCAAAAAAATATATAGTACTACATTATCTTTTTTTCTTAGTCAAATAGCAATGGAAATGATAAAGTTGGAAGAAAAGAGTTGAGCTATATGAAGAATGAAGCCTTATGTCTTGCCAAACATTCGATTTATTTGGAATGATCAAAGAATGAAAAAACAAAACAAGACTGTTTCTAAACCATGGGAAACAATAAAGATAATCAAACCAACAAACACAATTTTTATGAATGAAAGCATTGATGTATTAGACTTACTACTTGCATTTCAGTATAAGCCACTTTAAAAGTACATGAGTAAGTAACTTGGAATTGACTTGGTTGCATGTAGATAGAAAATATCTTTTATGAGAGAAAGTGAAATCATTCTATTTGAGGGATTTTGAGGCTTTGAGAGGCTTTACGGAGCCTAAAATGAATTTCAAGTTTTAACTACATCCAATCAAATGTTGTACCTATAAAATTTCATTGCTTTCCAAAACATTTTCTTCTAACTTTTAAAGCAAGAACTAATGTATGATTTTTCGCCTTCTTCCATGAAATCAGCATAGACCAAGAAAAAAATAATAAACCTGAGGAAGGGACTCAGAGGATTCAACATGAACTAAACGGAATCAAGGATAGAAAAAGCACATATTTCCTTTGAGAAAAGGAGCTGGTATTCTCAACTAGGTTGTGCCCATTTGCAACAGAGCTAAAACTATTCAACCCAAGCCAACAACAAAGAAGAGATATTGAAAGCATTAATTACCAAGGGATGAAGCACAGGAAATCAGCATAATAAAAGCAGTAGTTAGGCTCAAATCGAAAGAACGCAAGCACAAAGATTGTGAGAGAATGAAAACAAAAGCAATCCGAGTGAATGATTAAGCAAGCAACCAAACAAAAAACCCTAAAATGGCCGATTGAATGCACAGGATCGACAAAAACCTAACCCAGTTCCTTGATGCAATTGAAAAGTAGTGGGCTTTACCAGCTTGACCCAATTGATGGCGTTCTCGTCAAGCCCCTCGGTGAACATTTTTCTTTTCTTGGCTTCTGTCTGGCTTTTTCCACTGAGGGAGAAAGGGAGAGTTATTGCGACCTCGAGCTTGGAGAGAGTAGCGAAAGGCCGAAAGTAGGGAGCGTGGAGTTGGATCGGCTGATAACGGCTAGTTCGGACTTCTGTGATTTTTGAATCGATTAGTGTAGAATAATGTGATTTCAGTATTTCACACAGTCACACTGGCCCACGCTGGGGGAATTTAAAAAAAAAGGCTAAAAAAAATCTTTATAAAAAGGAAATTAAAAAAAGAGGTTGTTGGGTTTATTTTATGAAGAAGCATATTAATCAAGAAAATTAGTAAATGTAGTGTGTTTATTAAAAATAAATAAAAAGGAATCAATTTGTTAAAATAATTGGGATTTGGCACATCACATTTTGAATGTGCCAAATATTATGCTCAACTTAAGAGGGAGAGAGAAAAGAGGGAGAGAAAGAAGAGGGGGGATACAGAGAGAGCGGGAAAAGAATGATAGAATTTTTTTAATACAAAAACATATAAAACTCTTTAAGTATTTTATATATTATTTCAATATTTTAAATATCAGTTTAAATGTTTTTAATTATTATTTAAATAATAAAATTTATGTAATATTATTAAATATCTAAAAATTAAATTTATAAAATTTTAGTTAAATAATAATTAAAAATTATTTTAATATTTAACATTATATTTAAGTACTGTTATTTAATATTTAAATATTAGTTAAAATGTATTTTAAATGATAGTAAATATTAGTTTATTTTAAATATTTAACTACTGTTTTAACTATTTTTTAATAATATTATATAAATTTTATTGTTTAAATAATATATTTTAATATAATATAAAAAATTAATACTTTTTATATTCAAAATAATAATTAAAATAATATTTTAATTGATATTTAACATATTAAAATAGTATATAAAATATAAAATATTTAAATTTAATACTTTTTTAAGCTTCATTACTAGCTCTTTCAAATGAATAGATATGACTATTCAAATCTTTTAAGTCATATATGTATGATTATTTGTGTTCTTTTTTACTGTTTTTATTTTATAGTTTCCAAATATAATTTACATATAATTTGAAATATTTTTTTTATAGTTTCCAAAGGTTATTCTTTATGTGCTTCTCAACTATGTTTCCTAATAAAACATTACTTTTATCAGAATTGCAATTATATTTGCATATAACTTGAAATATTCTTCCTCTATGAATCCCCCCATCAGAACTTTCTTCTGATCTAGCAATTTCCTTCAACATCGGTCCCCTAAAACCCCTTCCCCTTATTCATCTTCTACTCATCGTCGATCTCATCTAGTGAGATTCTATTTTGGCTGACTCATTTCTTTGTCCTTTGCACAATGTTAGTCCGATTGTTGCCCATCCTAGTGAGATTCCGTCGCAATTTCCTTGTCTCTACAATGCTTGAGAACCACCCAAAGGACACACTGCGTGCATCTCCACCATCTTAGTCACCCACAATTGTGATTTGAGTGTGCCCTATAATTGATTTTCATTTGCATCCAAATACAAAAAAAAAAAGAAAAAATATCTTGATTTTATTTTACAAGCAATAAGTAATCTTAAGAGATCAAAATGCAATGTTCTTAATTTACAATGCATTAGTATCATAAATACTTGCAATTGAGCAACCTCAAACTAGCTCTTTCAACTAAAAAAAAGAGTAAAATTAAGAAGAAAATATTATTTGTATGTGTATATATAATTTGAATAGAGAACTATTAATACAAAACAAACTTAATAGAGAACTAATAATAATAATAATAATAATAATAATAATAATAATTTTGGCAAGAGAAATATTAATAAAAGATATTATTTAAACCCCCCCAGGGTTTGAAATTCTAGAATATAATAAGATTTAACATGTAAGTGGGCACATAATTATTTTCTACTTAAAAAAAAATAGTGTACTTTTCAAACTACTAGGTATACATTTTCTCAAAAAATACCTAAATATACTACTCACTGTTTATATAATTAACATACAAAAACGTAACATGGTAAAAGTTTAATGGTTGCAAAGTGATAGGAACTAGATAAAATTTCTTCGAAATCAACAAACGATAATAAGAAATTAGGAAGAAGAACACATCAAAACTATTTTTATTGCAAGATATATGAAATAAAATAACAATATACACTTCAATCTTCAATTGGAGAGGAAGACCCGACTTTCTCAAATTTCTAACTGGCGGCTAGAACCCTCACAACTTAAAAAAATTCTAATTTCAACAAATTCAAAACATAATCATGAAATCACCAGATTGTTAGCCTTAAATAAGCTCCCCTAATTCCGTCCCAAATATGAATTCAAATTAGCCATCTTTTCCTAAATAATTCCCTCTCAAATTTGAATTCAAATCAACCCTCTTTCCCTAAATAAACCTTCATAATTTCCTCACAATAAAATCGACCTTGTTTCTCTAAATAAACTTTCCTAATTCCCTCCCAATCAAATTAGTCGGTCCATCAATACTCCCCTCCAAACGACTCACCTTATTTGCAAGGTGGAAAGATGGCTCCTTCCTAATTTCCTCGTCATCACAAATGCTGAGCATCTGAAGTGTTCGGTCATTACACTTGTGCCTTAGTATATACCTCACCTCACATCTGAAATATAGCCCATTTGCACTCTTTTCTTATAACTCAATTTCTGTGAGCTTATTGAAGTTTTTTCTTAGGTCTTCCTCTTAGAGTCTTCTCCTTATAGGTCTCTTTATGAATACCCAGTGTTGACTCCTTATATGCCAAAAAGGTGGTGATCATTTTGTACGAACCTTCTAAGTTGTTGTCTCTAGCCCCTCTCTTCATATGCCTCTGATCCTTCACAAATTTGGATAGCTCTATAGTCCCTCCCAAATTACAGGGCCACATCACCCTAACTGCCACTAGAATCTATTGTCTGAGCCCTTTCATAAATTTCCCTCCAGTACAATCTTTGACAGCCGATCCTGTTGGCTGACCAGGTGCTCAAATTACTCACAGTACTACCACTTTTTCCTCTTACATCAGAGCAAAGAAGTGCTCATAGAAATCTCTTTCCCTGCTGGTTTGAAAATGTTCTAACAAGTAGTCCTCAAACTCCCTCCAGGTTTGTATGGGTCACCTCATATCCCTCAACTAGTACCATGTTAATACTTTCCCCTCCTTTGTTAACCTATTTATGATAAAGTACCTTTTCACCTTATATATCCACGCATGTACATCCTTTCCCTCAAAAATTGACATCTTCAGCTTCCTTACCCTTGGATCTCTTATGTTCCCCCTTTTTCCTCCATAATTTCATTCCCCAAGGGAGTGGTTCCCGTCAAGTGTCTCAATCATCTCTTCTATGCTCGTATCCAAACCTTTCATCAAAATTCCACATTCTTCTTTCAAGTTCAGCACCCCTTGGTTTATAATCAGCCCTACTCCTTTTAAATTAAACCCATATCCTCTTAAATTCAGCACCCATTCAGTCATATCAACCCCTCTCCTTTTAAATGATACCCTCTCCTCTCAAATTCAATACCCCTTCATTTATACTCGACCCCTTCATGTCTCTCCCCAAACCATCTACCAAACTCCTTCCTAGGAATAGGCTATAAGGGACCCTCTTCTCTCTCCAAAATTTCCACATTCTGGTCTTCCTTTCTTGTTTATCGAATTAGGGTTTTGCCTACTTCCTTGGCTACCGGCAGCTTCCCTCACCCTTGATAATGCCATCTTGGGTTGGCCATCGAACAACTTCTTTTACTTCTTCTCTAAGATAGACATTTCTCATCAATCTTTTAAAGAATCGCTAAAATTTGACTTTTAAAATATGAAAATAGAGTTTATAGATCCAAAATTTTAGATTTTGATAGTCTAATCTCTCCATCCAAAACTTCTTCCTTCCTTCCCACCATAGGTACCCAGATCAAGGCTCTACACTACAAAAAAATAATAATTTTGGTCTTCAAATAGCAAAAAACAATACTTTAAGGGGAAATTTAGTAGAAATTAGCAAGGAAAGACCTCAATTTTAGCCTAAGACATGGCTCTGATACCAATTTGATAGGAATTTAATACAATTTCCTCAAAATTGACAAATGATGATAAAACATTAGAAAGAAGAACGCACTGAAATTATTTTAATTTAAGATATATGAAAGAAAATTACAAGATACAATTGGATCTTCAATTAGAGAGGAAGATCAATCTCTCCCAAATCCCTATCCTGCGGATAGAGCCTTCATAACCTAAGAAAATTATAATTTCAACAAACTCAAAATATAATTCTTAAATCACCCTATTATTAGCTCTAAATAGGCTCTCCTAATTTCCTCCCAAATCTGAATTCAAGTTAGCCCTCTTCTCATTTTAACAGACAAATTATTAGTTTAATCAGAAAATTCTAAAATTTTAATATTTTTAAAAATTGTGATAGGCAAATTATAACCCCTCTCAATATGGATAACTTTTATAACTAGGCCACAACGAAAAATAATAGCAGTCACCTAAAACCTACCTTTCTCTTTATATTCGGTTGCCTAAGAGGTAAAAATGGATTTTTAATAAAATGAAAATGAAAGGAAAATAATCTTTTTATAAAATCAGAACCAAGCACCATAATGCTTAGCCTCACTACGTCGCAATGCTCCCCACAACACCAGCTCAACGACACAACTTGGAATTATTTTGGCAAAAAATTAGAAAGCTAAATGTTGTGGCTCAGCCTACCTTGATGGTGCAGTGCCCTAGGAGAAAATTTATATATTTCTAAATCATGCATATAATATGATGACTCATAATCTAAATTAGAAGAATATTCTTTTTTTTATTTTATTTATACAACCAGAGCTACCTATTTTTTCTAAATAGTAACAAAAATTAAATTATCGATCAAAATTAATATATATATATTTATACAATCATACTACCACTACTCTATAATGAGTATAAAAGAATAACTTAAAAAATAGAACCTAAGAATTCCTGATCTGATCAATCTCACACACATGATCCTTTGCCCTTACCTAAAATTATTTAACCACATATATGAGCTAAAAAGCTCAGCTAGTCACCAAAATCTACAACTAAACTCAACATAAGGTAAAGGTATAATATTCATGTCAATAATCAGATCATAACATTAGCATTCATATGATCATAGGGCAATACAATAGAGAAATCAAACTAGTACATGTGTCAAATCACTAAAGTAATCGTCATATCAATACTACAATCAGTACATAAATTATATAAAAAATCAAATTAAAACATCAATAAAGACTATCAAAATTGTGTCAATGTAGTAAAATTATATAAAAATAACTATATCCATGAATTACATGCTAAAAAATATAATATTAGTGTCAACTCAGTGTCAGTGTCTAGTGCACATGCTTAATATATATCACATGATCAATATATTAATAATAATTGAATAGTAGTAACATCAATATCATGAGTGAAAGTAACAATAAAGCCATACAATGGCAGTGATTTAGTAGCATGCATTCTAATAATCATATTAAATAAATAAATATCTTAGCTATAATAATGTTTTTTCAATATCAGTGTTAGTATCATTGACTCATTGGCTCAGTAAAAAAAATCGTTATTCTTTACCCATCACCACAGTAATAACTCCTTATAAGTCCCAATCAGTATCACATGAATCAGTCGAGGATAACACCAAACATAATATTTAAAGAAATGCCCATCAGCCCACCATCATGTATCGGTCAATCAGTCTCCAACCAACATCATTAAATGTGAATAACTAGCCTTTACTTTTTGTTCCCCATACACAAATTATTATCGCAGTATTATAATAGTAATATAACAAATAACTATTTCTCAACCACATATACACACTCATTTTTAATATAAGGTAGTAAACAAAGCATAATTAAGTAATTCATAAAGTGATAAAATATTCTAATGATAAACAACCAAAAATCCTATTTAGCAAAAATTCATATTTTCAGAATTAACAAAATTGTCAGAGATTGTATAAAATAATATTCTGAAGCTTTGGTTGAACTAAATTACTATTTTTAAATGTCAAAATAAATTTTAAAATAGGTAAAAATTGTTGTATTTTTAAAATCACCTCTCAAAATTTTTTAAATAAATACTCAAAATATTTATAATCTCAATCACTATAATATGTAAAAAGATACGTGATAAAAGTTTTACGAATATAAAATTATCCTCATTTTTAAGTTACAAAAATACAAATTTGAATAATCTAAAAATTATAAAATTATTGAAATAAAAAATATGATATAGATCTCATACAGTGAGACGAGTATATTTTTCAACTAGGTTGACTTAAGAAAATCACTCTACAACTCCAAATCTTAGGATTTTCTTTCCATCTCTTCTCTCTCTCTAAATTCTCCATGAGCATTCTCTGTTTAGCAGAAATGAAGACAATAAAGGATTTGTAATAATATAATAAACTAATGGCTTAAGATATTTTAATATGATATAATATAATATAAATATAATTATTAAATTAATTAAAGTCTTAGTATCAAATTTATATAAATTTTGTATGACTTCAAAAATTATAAAAAATAATTATAAAATAGCTCATTTTATTTAAAAAATTATTATAAAATTGATTTGCAAAATGGGCACCTAACTGTTCCGAAATTCCCACTTGTACTAATTGTTGTCAATTTCTTAAAGATTTTTACTAATGCCCAAAAATTATGAAAAAAAAATAAAACATTACTCACTTTTTTACACAAAATTATCCTTATTTCTTTATAATAGAAATAACAAATTGATTGGAAAAATCCCAAAAAAAAAAATTGAAATAAAAAAATATGATAAGATTCTTTATAATGAGACGATCAAATCTCCCAACTAGGCTTACTGTTGAAAATAGCTCCACGACCTCCAAATCCAATTATTTCCTTTCTTTCTCTTTTATTTCTCTCAAAATTCTCCCTAAGACTTCTCTATTTTGCTGAAATGAAGACAATAAAGGATTTGTAATAACTTAATAAACTAATGGCTTAAGATATTTGTAATATAATATATTATAACTATTTAATTAAATAAATTTTTAGTATAACATTTATATAAATTCTTTTATGACTTCAAAAATTATATAAAAATATCTATAAAATAACTCATTTTATTTAAAAAAAAAATTGGTAAAATTGGTTTGCAAAACAAACACATAACGGTTCTAAAATTTCCACTTATACCGATAAATACCAATTTTCACTAGTGCCTAATTTATGAAAAAATTTGTGAAATTAAAGTATAATAATATTAATGGTATGGCGAAGACAGTTTATGATTTGACTTATATTTACTCTAAAAAAAATTATTTAACTAGATTAAAATACTAATTATTATAATCTACCCATCTTATAAAAAGTCGTCCCTGATATTTCTCTTAAGAATTTGGGAACAAAATAGATATAAATCAAATCCGTATGAAAATATTGTTAATGTAGTAAAATTATATAAAAATACTTGTATCCATGTATCACATGCTCAAAAATATCATATCAATGTCAACTCAGTGTCAGTGTATAATGTTCATGCTTAATATATATTATGTGATCAA